GTTTATATATGTATATATTCATATATTTATATATTTATATATTTATATATTTATATATTTATATTTTTGTATATTTAGATATTTATCTATTTATATATTAAGATATTTATATATTTAGATATTTATCTATTTATATATTTATATTTATATATATATATATATTTATATATTTATATATTTATATATTCATATATTTATATATTTATATATTTATATATTTTTATATTTACATACTTATATATTTATATGTTGATATGTTTATAAATTTAAATTGTTATAAATAAATATATATATATATTGAAATATTTTTGTATTTATATGTTGATATGTTTATTTATTTAAATATATATATATATTTATATATATATTTATATTTATAGATTTATACGTTGATATGTTTATTTATTTATATGTTTATATATTCAAATATTTATATATTTATACATTTATAGATTTATATGTTGATATGTTTATATATCTATATGTTTATATATTCATTTTTTTTATATTTGTATATTTATATATATTATTTATATTTTCATATATTTATAGATTAATATTGATATATTTATATGAAAAAATATATATTTATATAATTGTATATTTATATATATCTCAATGTTTTTATATGTTTTTATATTCAGACATTTATATGTTTATATATTCATATATTGATATTTATGTATGTACATGTATGTATATATATATATATATGTATATTTAAATACTTATACATGTTTATTTTTAAACATTAATATATTTATATTTTTATATATTTATATATTTGGGTATTTGCATATTTATATATTTATAAAAGTGAAAATAAATTGATTTAATACAATATATATATATAAGTATATATCTGACGGTCATGAGAGGTCTATAGCATTATGCCATTCACCCAGTACCCGAAGTTACCTCGTAGCGTGGAAAGGGAGACGGTTAAAATATCCTGCGCCGAAAAAGGCCCAAAATTCACATCAGTGCCCGGGTTCCTCGGAGCTCTGCGGCAGAGGGTCGTCACTTTCGTATCTGGTCATTCCCAAGGTTGACAGAGAGGCATGGCATGGTATGGCCGCAGGTGGACATTTTGCACCCAATAAACCCAACTTAAGGGACATATGATGAATTCATTGGATGTACTGCGTCCATACGCATCCACTTGCAAGCTTTTGGGCCATGTTTCACATGCAACCACACATTGGGAGATCATAAGAGAAACAAAGTCCTGAAATGGTCGTTCCAGGCCCGGATGATCACGGTTTGCAACCATCATGCCACGTCATTCAATGCGTTGCAATGGTGTCAGACATGATGTGTTGAAATGCTGGAGCTAAAATACAATGATTTGGCATGATTTGGCCTTCTTTCCCGCAATCTCATTCCCAGCTGCAGCCCCTAAACAAGGTAGACATTGGGTAAAACTCTGAACACCTTGTGCGCAACTTGTTGAGACAGAGGAAGGGGGATTCGTTGAGACGGAGGCATGGAGAAACGGAAACCACCCGCATGTTGTAGTGCCAGCAAAGTGGTGCATGAGACTTGGCAGAGTGAGTTTGTCAGTCTCAAGTTCCTGCCCGGAAGGGGCACCCTATTTTTTTTTCTGAGAGCCCTTCAAAAGTCAAAATACCAAGTCGCCCGGCATGCTGTGGACCACCGGAAACAAAATCCACCCCCTTTTCGCGCCTCAGCGCTGCCGCGCCTTGCAACAATGCAGCAAAGAGCGGTGGTGGCGGGCCTTCGTCGGCTAAAGCCTGCCGCAAGTTTTGCCCACGGCCGCTGGAAAGCATGGTGTGCTTTATCAAGGTATCTTTTGGTCTTTCGATCACGTTGCCGCCTGTTTCGGGGGATGGCGCCACTTGCTAAATGACCGCCCTCCGGTTGAAATAGCCATTTTCTTCTTCCCAATTTGCCTTGGGTGCGGCAAAGCATGCATGCAGGCCGCCCTGTTGAAACCAAAAAAAAATGGGAGTTGCTCGGTTGACCATGTCGGGCGGCAAAATTCCACAGATCTCGCAAAGCATAAAAAATGTCATGCGCGACCCGGCGTCATGACTTGGCCATCATCACGGTCCGCACCAGAATCAAACCCAAACCAGAATAGATCTGCATTTTTTTGCAAGTTGATATTTTTTTCTGCCCACGTTTTACGCCTCCAGAAGATAGATTAAGTCCTTCCACTTTGTGGGGGTCAAAAGAGGTACTCTTGCAAGTCATGGAACGAGGAGCTGCAAATGCTTTACAACAGGACTCAAAATTTCAACAAGCTGAAGAGAGCACCTCATGGTCAGGTTCACCAAATCAAAACAGCAACTTAAGCCTTATGTGAACATGTGCTAAGTAATAATATGTTTGAGATACTTGTGTGTGTGTGCCTGTACATGTTTGTGCCCACATAGGCAGAGTTCCCCTGGTTCATCCCTTGATACTTTTTTGGTTGATAGGCGTTCTCATGTCATGGGTTTGCCCACAATCTGCCATAAACCAGCCTACAATAACTCATCAACCGGCCACATCAATGATATCTCAATTCTTGCCGTAACCCCCACCTCTTAAATAACCTTTTTTAATTACCCCCACCCTCCAAACAGGAATTTTCTGGCCAGGACTGCGAAGGCACCTGGAAGAAACAAAATAAGGACATTCAACCTGCCATTACCAAATACAAACGGAACATCACAAATTTTCGAGGACATGAATTTTGACCCTGAGCATTGGTGGCATCATATGACACATCCCGGCTGGGTAATACATGGGTATGGTGCAAAGTTAAAGCTCACAAGACCCCGCAGAATTCACCAAGGGTTGTATTGACTTTGCTCAGGGAGACCGCCAAACTCGCGAATCTTTAATTTTTGAAATGTCCCGTTTTCCGCTGTTTTCGGCAGTACATCTGTCCTGTCCCCATCATGCGTCAGTTCTGAATCTTCGATTGATATGGATGGTGTTCACATGTGTTCTCTGGATAGTTCTGTACCAACCCTCAACTAATTTCTGAACTGAGGAAGCCATGGATCAAATAAAGATATGTAGCATCCCACATCACTTATGCTACACATGTGGTTATTCTTCAAAACACTTTGTAGATCCGCAAGAATGAACGGCATTTAGTCTCTTTGATACCAATCTCCTCACTTCCCTATCGGCCAAATCCTAAGATTTGATGAGAAGAACATCACCCAACCTAATTCGACCCTAGGTTTCACCATATTTCAAGAGGGAAGGCATATTTTATTCCAATTTCACCTACCACTGATAAGGCTAAGTCGGCTAAGTTACCCAGCAGAACTGGCAAACCGTTGGGATGACAGCGGCCATGCCCGGCTGCAGTGCAAATGCCAGCGGTTTTTCACCGTTTTTACAAGCAGGAGACCGAACATGATGACCCTAGTAACCATCAACTGTACACCACGATTTATTCTTTATACCAAGTATCCCGAGTAGTCTTGATCGTAGTTGGCTATAGTGAATAAACCAACTATCCAGCATAATATCATAAAACATAATACCATTAGTATATCATATTATATCGCATTGTATCATACTATAGCATATCATAGTCTATCATATCCATATCATATATATATATATATATTCTGGCATCATCTGGCATCACTTCGTGACTTCCAGAGACTGCTTCTCTCTTGTCAGCTTTTTTATATCCTTAGTTAATATCCTTAGTACAAGTGCAAAGAAAATTTTCATCAGAACTCCCCAAAATCAGCATTGATGGCATCACCAATCCACCGCGCCGCCCGCGCCTGCGGGTTCAATCGAGCAGAGGTCACCAATTCGGCACAGGCGCCACGCAGCAGAGCCAGGGCACCTGTGGAGTCCATGCCTCACCAGAAATATGGCTAATATGCCATCGATGGAAGTAGTGAGCTGAGTAGTATATTACCCATATTTCTGGTGTTATATTTGGTTACTTAATATGGGTATATATATATAGTAGTATATTACCCAATCCAAATTGGAGGCTTTATGTTTGGGTTTATCACACCAAAAAAAATCCCCTGTTGCAAATGTAGTTTCATGTGTGGGTTAACGATGGGTTGACTCGGCTCCAAGATATTACCAAACTCCTCCTGACGGTGGCAGGAAATTTTTAGGTGGCGTAAATGTGGTCAGTGAACCTTCCAAGCTGGATGATTTAACAGAACAAATGACCAATCAATCCTGTGGCTGCATGTGGCTGCATTTGAATCCTGATGTTCGCTGAGCTTAGCGATCGGTGGCTAGGAAGTGACACATGGAATCAATGTAGGCAATGCATTGACATCTATGGGTCATTGTATACATATCATATACATATATATATATCACATACATATCACACACATATCATATACATGTTGTATACATAGTTTATCATATTATATCCGTACACATGCATTGTTAACTCACCATCCCTCCATCCCTGGCCATCCCTGGCCTCGCATGGAGGGCGACTCCTGTGGAGAAATGTGGTTACCATGTTTGCTGCATCAAAATCACATAGCAAACACCACGAACCCCAGAAGTAAACTACCATGATTCAGCCATGATGATCATACAATCTCCTGACATTTGCTATAGTATATATGGTGTATATATTTCATGATATTACATATATATAATTATATATATATATGTACAAATATTTAACTATTCTTTCACTTCATGCAGCATTGAAAAAATAGGCCAGCACGATCTCCTCAGTTCCAACGGCCAAAGTGCCACACTTCTCCACGTGGCTTATTAGCCATGGCGCAGGCCGCATTTTTACCACACATGCCTCGTCCGGAAACCGAAGCTGGGATCATCCCTGTGGTGGATAGCCATGGTGCACGATTGCAACGAGTTTTATCACATTTTTTTTGTCCCGTAATCGTGACAATTGAACATCAGTTACTTTGATGATGTTTTCCAGCTATAAACCAGTTATAAACCTCCATTCATCAAAGTTTTTTTAGGATATTTTCCAGCCACCTTTGATGTCAGCCCCGGGATGTGTCGCCGCCTCGTCCCAGAAGGACGGTGATTCAAAGAGTTCCTGGCCCAACGCAGCAGAAGGATTCAAAGGATGTGGAAGTTTTATCTAACATTTGTCAAAATAAAAAAAACAAGTGGTGTGACATACCAAGAATATATATAGATTATGGAATTTCGGCATGTTCTAACGCAAAAGCAACAAAGTGGTCGTCGACATCATGAAGCGTACCTCCACTTTCAAAGCACCTCAATCTCTTCTTCCTTTACCAAGTGAATCATCAATCCTTTTGGCTATGAACCCAAAATTGACAATGTCATGTCGCAGCAAGTGCTGATTGCGGAAATTCAAGCAAGGTTCTCTAAACTTAGAATTTGGACTTGATTTTCCAATTTCAGGGAAGTCGGAAAAACCCGTCTCTTCCCATGGATTTCAAGTAGCCTTGTCTGGCACACAAGGCACCAAACAGTTGGCCACTGAGCGGCACCTCGGTACGAGATCATGCCAAAGTCCCAGGGCTAAAAACGGTTCCTCGACAGTCAGAGTTAAACTGCCTCCAGTCAGAGAAATGCATAATATATGTATATATATATGTATGATATATATATGTATGATATATATATATAGATGGATAGATATACATATGTATGTATGTATGTATGTATGTATGTATGTATATATGTATATCCATATATTAAATTGTTGAGGTATGCTCTACTTTGTTGACAAAGCCATGTTGACCTGCTTGGGATGATTAAAAATTAATCCCATTAGGTTGGTAAATGTGTATTCTATAGGGATCCATATGGGTTATACCACATCCAGGTGGTCATCCCGAATTTTTACCAGGTGGTCAGGTCCATAACCCCCAGGCACATGGGGCAGCCGAATTCTCCACCCTCGATGTTGTAGAAGGAGAAGCGCCGCAACGCTGCTGCCTGCGGCGGGTGCCAAGCTTCGAAGTAAGTACCGGAATTTACAGCCGGCCGCGTCGAAATCGACACTATGGGCTGGAGGGGAAAACATATTTATATGTGAGATTATGTGAGATTGTATATGAGATTATGATAAGTATAAGCGTCTATTATTATTGTTATTATTATTATTGTTATTATTATTATACGGTATACACATGTAAGACAAGCATGTTGATCATGTTGATTTGATGGCAATGATGGCAATGAATTTGCTGCTGGGTAAGGACACAACCATCCCAAGCAGAGGGGTTCCAATGGCGAGTGAAGGGGCCAGCACTACAGGGCTACTTTCGTGAAGTAAGTTGGATTCAGTTGGTATGATACCCCCAATGTAAAAAACCACATATTCATCAATATCTCTGTTTGGCTGTGAATTAGATTCAATTCAAGCAGAATCTGTTCTCATCCATCAACTTTCACAATCGTTTGTTTACCATATTTTTTACCCAGTGTTTCACAAATTTACCATAGTTTACCATAGTCAATTCGTTTGATTATGGGAACATCTATGTTAAACTGTGGTAAACTGGGATATCTGGTAAACTATGTTGAACTATGGTTTACCATCAGTTTTTCCATAGGAACATCGTTTGGATATCTGGGTTTCCTATGGTTTCCAGATGGGTTTCCCATCGTGGGAAGCCTTGGAACCATGGCCTGGCTCTGTCCGTCCAGGGCATGTCGCTGTCCACAGCTGATGTGCACCATGTGTCGGCAGGAGGTGAAGCGACGGAAGCCTCCGAGGATTCGTGGATGTTCGTTGGGAAAACCATGGGAAAACCATGGGAAAACCATGGCCATGGGACATCTGGATTATTCACAGGAAAAACATTGTAAATCTATGTAAATCTTCCTTAAAAGCAATGGAAGTATTGCCCGGCCATTTGGACAGGGCTCAATTTTTTGGGGCACCAGAGGGGCTGCACAAGCCCATCCAATCATTGGATTGGTTTCTTGGGGAAAATCTACAGGAAACCATGGTTTTTTACCATGAAATATGGGGTTTTCCTGTAAAATGTTCCCTTAAACCAACCCAGTGATCCAAAGATGCTAAAGAGCAGTTTTTGGATCCAGCTGCCAATACTTGCAGAATCATCATTCCATGAGGTGTTGGGTCCAAGTTCACCACGGACAGGGGGCTTTGCCCCTCAGAAGTCATCGTTGTAAAATGGGGCATTCGGCAACAAAACCACGTGGGATACGGCCCAAAACCATGTGGATCATATCTATCTGTCTGTCTATCCATCCATCTATCCATGTATCTGCCTTTCTATCTACCTATCTAGATACCTGTCTGTCTATCGATCTATCTATCCATCCATCCGTCTACCTATCTGATAGAATTGTAAAGATGTATATACATATAGAATATAATATAATATAATATAACATAATATAATATAATATAACATAATATAATATAATATAACATAGTATAATATAACATAATATAATATAGTATAATATAACATAGTATAATATAACATAATATAATATAATATAACATAATTTAATATAATATAACATAATTTAATATAACATAATTTAATATAATATAGCATAATATAACATAATATAATATACAAATCATGAACAAAACTGACCCGCCCAATCTGCTCCCACGGTGCGCCTGGATGACCCCCCAAATGATGCGAGCGACCACGGAATTCGCCAACCTCAAAAATGGGTCATAGACTTGTGCCATTGTTGAACCCTGCGTCAATATGCATAACAATGTATGCGTGAAATATGTATGTATATATATATATGCTATATGATACATATGACTTGTTTACACACATATTTAACATCTAAATTGCAATGTGTTGGTATCAACCGTATCAACCGTATCAAGCTGCTTGTTTCTCCCCTTTTGTGCATCGCATTTTTTGGCTCCCCAACTGCAGCCAACATGGCCAGGGGATTCTCCTGTGAGCCCGCCTGGGTCGCCATGTTACGACCATGATGACGATAGCCATGATGACTCGCCATATGATAGCCCTATGTCAGGATATTACTAGTACTACCAAATATATATACATGTAGCCATATGTCAGGTTTTTTTGCTGATATATTACTGATATACTATTAAATATACTACCTCATTTTGCGAAGCTCCCAGAGATCAGAAGGGATTGCCCCAAGAGATTTCGTTGGCTCGGGAATTCAAACACAATGTTTTCGAAGCTATTGAGGGTGCTAGTGGCAAATCAATGTTCGAAAAAAATCCTGCGAATTAGGCAAACCATAAGAACATCATCAAAATTGCTAGATCTCCGCAAATGTCTGACGTCAACAGGCCTCTACACTACATGTATTTCTTCGTCATGCCCAGTATGCAGTGGCATCCAGTCGGTATATGTGCCAACTTCAAATGCACCACCTTGGCATCATGCGGATGGACAAAAAGGATCAAATAGAATGATGTGACCCTACTTGGGACCATACTTGGCCCAAACGGTCCCTTCTGGGTCTCTTCGGGGTTCCTTGGGGAAACGCTCCACGGAAGTCCACACCTCTCTGCACGTGGCACACCTAATCCAAAACGGACGGAAAACCTTCAGCAAATCACTACGGACATTGACAGACATGAGTGGTCTGTACTTCTGTACCATTTGATGTTCCACTGCATTGTAGATGGTATCACGGGCCGGGTCCCTTTCCAAACCATAGCGGACAACTTCTCCATTGGTGTCAGATTCCATTTTTTTTTTGGACAAGACACTGCCAGACTTCCGAGTCCTGGGAAGTGGAGGAAAAAAGCCCCAATCTAACTACAGTAGGTAGGGTATATCTCACTCTTCACTGGGTCATTTCCCTTAGTTATAGCTATTACAAACTTACTGGGATGCACTTGCAAGATATCCAGGTATCGAAATAAAAAGTGGTCAATACCTTTGAGATAATGGGTTGATTGGACATCCATAACTGCCGCCGACTTTGGGGGAGCTAGAGAGCATTAGGTTTTTGAACATACCCAAGGTTCAAAGAAGTGTCAAAGTCAACAGGTTGCCCCCCAAGAAAATGCATCCAAAATGACTGCGAGGTGGGCCCGAAATTGATCTTTGTTGTTTCAGGTTGCGTTTTGAGATGAGGAAACAAGAAATATATTTGCCAATGATTTAATTACATGCACCTGAGTACATGCATCCATACATGGTTGAATTAAACTATGTTGAATGCATGATGTATGCATGCACTTTACATACCTTTCAGAAAGGTGACAAGTCCAAAAGTACCTGAATGTTCATGATGCTCAATCCCGGAACCACCATTCAATTCTGGTGCAACTAAAGATACTCAAGCGATCAATCCAATCATAAACCTCTTTTTTATCCTTTGTTTGGGAGTATGGTCTTTAAATATCTTCATTGCGAATCTTTTTTTGTCTCCTCGTTAAATATCGTTAAATGCTGAACAAATTCAGCAGGTCCTCCGCAGTGGAGTCGTCCGTGTGGCCTCCCACAGGTGCCACACGGATGATTCCAGGCACATGAAATCACCAGACTAAAGGGGCTTTTTTGGGCTTTGAGATGGTTGGAGTTTGTTGTTTCCAATGTTTCCACTCCAAGACACCGTCACAGACCTCGTTTTTTCATGTTTTTTCATTCGGCAGTACAGATGGTACAGATGGTACAGCGCCTTCCATCCCAAGACCTTCAACGGCTTCCTTCTGCTTCTGCTGCATCCGCTGCATCATGGCCTGCTTTTGAAGCATGGAGCGGCAACAAATTGTAGCACTGTAAGACTTACAGTAAGAACCCGAATAGTAGCAATAAGAATCCGAATAGTAACAATGACAATAATGACAATAATGACAATAATAATAATAATGCTAATAATAATAGGATATAATTGGTATGAAATCCAGGGACCATCACCGTATGTTTCAGACCTGTTGGAATGCTTGGTATGCAGCAGAAAGCTATCAGGCAATCTCTCCAGAAAATCGGTGATTTCTGGCCTGCTGCCTCTGTCGCATGGCTTCCAACCGTTGCCTGGTGTGGATTTCGGTCCCAATGGGACGGAGGGGTCTAGCGGGACGAATGCGTCAAAATGGATGCATTGCCAAGCATACCTCTTCTGAAGGGTGGTTTCAAGCTCCGAAACATAGTCTGCATCATCTTTCCATATAGGGACAGAAAGAAACATACATTTGAATCCAACCAGAACTGAGTGATCGGTTGTGCAATTCCTATCGCCGTTCTTGTGTCCCCTTCATGGCAGCTTCTTTGTTGTAGCCCATTTGTGGCCTGGAAAAAATATCTGGGAATGTCAACTGCCAGTCTCCACAAGTGCCCCACACGCCTCCTCCGGTCTTCAGCAGATTCAGCCGGTGCTTCCGTGGGGGCATGGTCTCGCGAGCGGATCAATTTCGACAATCCCAGGTGGAGATGGAACAGTCAATTCATGTCAGAAATAGTTGAAACATGTTGAAACCAAAAACATCCACCAAATCCAATCAGAGGCAGAATCAACCACAATTGTTGGCCAATCTCAGGTGGAAACATGCACCGGGTCACACTTCCAAACTGGATCAAACGACAATGCGCATGAACAATATGTGTTTGATCTACAGACAAAACAGACCAGCTGTCCAAGATAAACAGGGCAAAAAAGTTTGGTGAGGTTCCAATGGTATCACTGGTTCAATTTCAGACCCATAAGGGAAAAGTGGGCAGATCCTTCATCTTCCGATATGGGTTTGTCCCAAAATAGGGAATGCTCCAATTTATGGCCATTAAACCAGTAATTTTTATAACAATGGCCATTAAAATCATTAAAATAATGGCCATAAAAGATGACCACGAAATTTTCACCAGACTTTTCCACCGGATGACCACGAAATTTGTGCCTTGGAAGCCAAGGTTTTGCCATCGATCTCGCCTCGGAAAAGAGCTGCAACCTGGTTGCCCATATCTTTGCGTGTATGATACTATGCATTGAAATAAATATGTATATATATATATTATATTATACATGCGTATGTCTGTACATGTGTATACAATGTATCTACAGTATATCATATATGTCTATATCAAATTATATATTCATGTATCCCATATGGAAATGTCAAAGGGAAGTGAACATTCAATGGGTACATGACCCGCTTGCCACAGGGATAAGATATGATGAGTACGGTTCAAGACCTTTTTCCCTGGTACCCTGACCCCAATTCTGAGTATTCCAGGCTGAGACATTGATCCACCCAATCTTGCTGACTCTTCAAATCCGCTATTTGTAGTTGTTCCATCAGGCAGCGCTTCCCACTAAGATGACTTCCCACTGGGTATGCCGGGCAGTCTTTGCGGCAGCATCTTGGGTTGACACAAGCGACTGAGCACCGGATTTTGTAACTGCGCCTCGCGGGTGGGATCTCGATGGACTGGATCTGGAGAACCCAATGAAGAAATACCGAAACAAAAGGACCTTAGGATGGAAAAAAAAAACATAAAATATACAAAAATAAACAACATCATGGGGAGATATTAATTTTCGCAACAATCATACGAGACTATCATCTAGTATCATCGTTCGTATCTGGATGCCATACAGAAAAAGACCCATGGATTACGAACGAACCTTGATGGATGGCACCCAGCAACCACCAGTGGTCCTTCATAGATTTCATGGCTTCACTGGAACCACTGAAGAAACCATGGGTTTTTTAAATGACCCCCAAAAAACCGGAGGTTTTCCTGTGGATTTGCGAAGACGCTGTCGCCATGATGTAATCATGTGTAATCGCCTTGTGAGGTTAGTGTGGTGACTTTATTTCATGTTCTATCCAGATCCAGTATGCCACCTGAAGCCACACGGTTATGATGAGATGCCAGGAACAAGAGAAATTTAAGAAGTGAAATTCGGTGAAATATCACCCACATACACCGTTAGAAGTATACGGTACTATGATATATATAATTATATATAATATATATATATATCACATACCACATTCATATACATCATAGTCATAGTAACTTAGTACTTCAATAAATAACCGTTAGACACCCTCCATGATGACATTCCTGTGACGTGGTGGCGCCTCACCCAGGGACTCCAGCGCTTTGAGGATGGTCTCAGATGGGACAAACCCGGTAGATTGGTGGAGCCCAAAGTTGGTTCTTATTTCAGAGGATCAGATTGATTAGATATGATTAGATACATTGGTTGAATCCAATATTGTCGCAGTGGAACTCCAGTTTCGGAAATATCATGCTTCCCTGTTACTTGGCCAAAGCCATGATCGGCACGAAAATGAGGCCGGGAGTTCAACATTATTTAAATGATGGGCAACACATGGCAACACTTTCAACATGTCAGTCAATAATGTATTAAAGCTGGCGTGAAGCGTGCACAAACTTGCTGGTATTGGACAAGTGTATTTCAACGGTACGGAAATTGATGTGTGAATCCAACGATCGATATGACTAGGCAAAATAGACTCTCCCGAACTCCAACACTGCGACTTTTTTCTTGCAGTTCTCTATGGTATGTCCCAGCATTCGGAGAAGAACAACCAATAACCAACCCAGCACTGAGCATTGCCAGTTTCCCTCGAGTCATCTTGTGTTCAAATACAAATTCTGAGATGAAAATCGGGCTGTAGATGATACAGAGCCACTCCTTGTAACAAACTTACGTCACTTCGGGGTAGGTGACACAACGGGACACATCCCAAGAAGTCAGCGCCTTGTGTCGTGGCATGCCGGAAGCGTCATGACCTGGTGCTCTTTTGCGTGAACTCAGGGGAGTCTGAAAATGCACTTGGAAATGTCTGAAAATGATAGCGGCGGTAACCTGACTAATCTGACACTTCAATGCCTTTATCTGTTGGAAATGAGATGTTTTGCGATCAATTTTCTCAATGGAATAAGCGTTCTGAGTCTTCGTTTCGATCTAAACTTGTGACAAAAAGATTTGAAGAGTGGGGTTTCTTCAGTCCTCAAAAGGGTTTGGGCAGGGAAACATCCCTGAAACTTGCTTCTTTGTTCTGAGTTTGGCTTGTGTTTCATGTGTTTCATGTGTTTCATGTGTTTGGACAAGTCCCGTCTTGGTAGTCGAAACAAGGGGGGGCCTGAGAACCCAAAAGCAAAACGACAGCAAACAAATTCGAGTAATTAATTGGTTTATTTCCCTTTCGCCTCTTGCCAGCACCTTTTTGGAAGATGAATATTATGGGCGCATTCACTGCAAAATTCATTTTTTCAGCTCTACAGAGACTTTTACACACAGAGGACGTTTTACACAGAAGCAAGGTTTTGTTTTGTGCAAACGACTTCTCTGTGTCAAAGCCTCTGAGTCCAGCATGCTGTCTCGCTCCCTCCCAGCGAAGCTCTCCCCAAGCTATTTCCACGGTTTCCCCTCCGTCCAGCATGCTGTCTCGCTCCCTCCCGGCGAAGCTGTCCGCAAGCTATTTGCACCTCCCCTTCCTTCCTCCCTCCCTTTCTTCCTCCCTTCCTTCCTTCTCTTCCCCTTCCTCCCTTCCTTCCTTCCTCCCTTCCTTCCTTCCTTCCTTCCTCCCTTCCTTCCTTCCTCCCTTCCTTCTCTTCCTCTTCCTCCCTTCCTTCCTTCCTTTCTTCCTTTCTTCCTTCCTTCCTTCATTCTTTCCTTCCTTCCCATCTCCGTCCAACACTACGTATCGCTCCCCCGCAGCAAACGAGAAACTAAACGAGAACCCAAGCATCGGAGATACTTTTGGGAAAAAACGGGTATCGTATCCTACAAAATTGCCAAGCCACTGCCGCATCTATACATCTGGTTATTTAACATAGCCATGAAACATCCACTCTCTGCCAGGGTGCACACTTTTGCACGATATGCATCTACAATGCGTTTGATGATGACGGCACTGGCATCGGTTTCGATGCGCAGGAATCCACCAAACAAATCTCAAGTCAGTGAGGAGGAGGGGTGGTGGTGGCCCCTAGAATTTCTTGAGAGGAGAGAACGGCATGAACGTTTCTTTGTTCATTAGAGTACAAGTACCAGCCATGAAACATCCACTCTCTGCCAGGGTGCACACTTTTGCACGATATGCATCTACAATGCGTTTGATGATGACGGCACTGGCATCGGTTTCGACGCGCAGGAATCCACCAAACAAATCTCAAGTCAGTCCCCCATACAGTAGCCCCCATTCAGGCAACTGCACTTAAAGGAGGGAAGCGATAGCCTGGCAGAGGGAAAGTGGGTAGGGCTGGGCATGCAATGTTAGGAAAGTTCCTTTGGAATCAGTTCCTTGAAGAATGATGTGCTGTCGCTTGGAGAGGGAGCACCGTCCAGCTGTGGGAGCGCATGTCTTTAGCACTGAGTTCAAAGCAGGCATCCTGTATGCCAATAAGGCGGTGGATTTTCTCCAAGGGGTGTTGTACTGACAGTAGTCCACTTGGTGTTTGACAGCAACATGTTCTTCTAAACTTCTCATCAATGGTGTCAACCACACTCTTGATGTCCAAGGATTTTCAATGATCCAGGGGATCAGGAGTTGGAGGCAGTGAGCTACTATGCGCAGGGTGACATAGAGTAGTTTGTTGCCCTGAACTACTTTGAACTGGTCTTTCTGGGATAGTCCATGTTTGCCCCAAAGGAGAGCGTCATCATCGCGAAGGGGTGGAGGACCGCCATCATGCTTTCGGGCACGGGACCATGAAGAACAAGGCAACCCAAACCAAACCAGCGCTACATCATGGGTAGAAAGCAAGTTGAAGAGGAAAGCTTCAACACCAGGGCGAAGAAGGTCGCAGTTGCTACCATACTCGATGTCCAAAGCTAACGCATAGAAGCCGACTGCTGCGCACGCTTGTGAGAGGCGAGCGCAACCACTAAAAACTTCCACTATCCACTTATTTCTAGGTTTCACCCCAGTAGGTGGTTTGAAAACTTTAGGACCGTACTTTTGAGGGATTTTTCGGCTTTCAGGCTGGCCTCCTGAACTGCCACTGGAAGTGCTTGGAACTCGGCATTGATCAGCGCATGCTTTTCGTATCGCTGAACTGAGGAGTCGGCTGACCATCTGCCTCTCATCTTCACCTCCAAGGCGGTCCTGAAGTTGTGTAGCCTGTCGTGGGATGGGCCAGCGTGTCTCAACTGGTACATCACATACTGCTTGTGAGAAATCCCCAAATTTTGAATTGTGTTGTCCCAAATTGTCTTCATCTGTTGATAGTCCATGTTGAACAGCCATGAGTTGGCATGCTTCCTTGCCAGTTTCACCAGAATGTTGCCGAAAAAAGGAAGTTCGGCGTTGTCCAAACTGATGGATTCGTCGGCAAGGCCTACCTTTGAGCACTCTCCCCGGTTTGACGGGTGAAGGTTGATCACAGCGGTTTTTGAAGACCGACATGGCTTGATCACATCTATTGCTTGTAGGCCCAGGGCTTCCCCTGGACGCAGGTAAGCCACAAACATGGTGAGAACTGCTAGAGCTGCTACCACTTGTCGGGAACGACACATCTTGTCTACTATCAATGCTACCAGTGCAAAGGGCAGTGGTGGCCGTGTGCTGCCAGGATCCAACTTCTGCCAACCTTGAAGGCATCTGCGAGACCTGGGCAGCTGGAATTTCTGTGACAAGCTTGGGCATGCATCTAGCATTGCCGCGAAGTGCTTGGACCCTTCTGTGATGTCTAGCCCTGCGTGAAACAAGGAGTTGAGAAAGATGCTGAAGCTCTCGTCGCAATTCTGGGCCGTGTCTAGACTCAAACGATTGCTCTTCACAAAGTTGAGAAACACCTGATGCCTCTTGACATAGTCCAGGGCTACTAAGTGAGAAACCGCTTGTTGTTCCAGAAACGTTTGGCCCTGAAAGCGCGGTTGCTCTACTGAGCTCATGTACCTTGCCCTCTTGGCACCTCTCTCTTCCCGATTGGCTCCCTGAATCATCTTGCGAACCCTGGCCCTGGTCATAGACTTGCAAGGGGTGTGGGATTCCGCTAGCAGTTTGGATTGCACCCTCCCGGCCAGTCGTGAATCCCCTTGAGACTGCAACTTTTGGGATCTTCGTGGTTTTGCAGCTAGTTTCTTGTTCGCACTGGCTCCCAACACGCCAAGATTCCCAGCGCCTCGAACCATGATCTGCAGGATTGAACTCTGAAGGCACCCAGCGATGAAATACTGCTATATCAGCAGCAAGCACCAAGGCGCACAGCCTCCTACAGCCCCGCAGCATAGCAAAAGAACCTGACCTACCCTTCTCTGAGCAAAGAACATTGGCCAGGTTGTCATTGAGATGCAAAAACCGTTTCCCAAAGTTGTCCACTGATCTAAGAAGATGACGAACTGCAGCGACTGTTCCCCTAGATTCCAACACAGTGATAGGTTCAGGTCTACACATGAAGGCCGCAAAACGAAGTCCCCAATGATTGTCATCCATGAACTCCTGTGGAATATCCTTAAAGTCAGGGTTTAACTCATAGGGGTCCTCATACGCAGAAACATTCAGTTGGATAGGCTTCACTGAATCGATGTTAGAAAAAGGGTCCACCCGATCTGCCAGCTCTGTACGAAAAACGCTTTCACGAGGATTGAGTGCATGCTTTGACCTAAATCGCCAAGACTCTGGAATACTGCCCAATTCACTGATTTGCTCTTTTGCAGCCCCCCTAGCACATACTGCTATTCCAGATAATGATGCGTCAGAGGCTGTCACTGTCTCAGACCACTCCCTTTTCAAATCGGCACAGCAAATGTGCAAGAGGTTGGCCGCCCACTCAGCTTCTTTGGCCACAGACCTCCACAGCCGAGTTGGTCGATGATAGGACGCTTGCACAAAATCATATGAAGATCTGAAAATTGAAAGCATTTCTCTTCGCAGGAGCATGAAATGTACTGCATGTCCCAACAACTTCTCCATCATTCAGCCGGAGGCCTTGGGTCGCCGACTGAGCCATTTGAAGGCTGCAATCACCTTGGAGACCCGTTCGGGAATCGGTAACACTTTGCCTGATTTCCCATCAATTGCAAACCCAAGGCTATCAACTCGGGTTGAGGCATCTATCACCTCACGCACTCGAAATCCTAATTGTTGGAGATGTTGTTGGATGTCATCCTTGACCTTCTGAACCTTGTCTCGGTCTGTTCCTATGACGTTCAAGTTGTCTGCATAGACCATGAGGCATGGCTCCCCACTGTCAAGTTGAGGCGCCGGCTGTCCTTCGGCCACCAGTCTGCTTGGACCTAGGCCGGAAGCCAGCAATGCTTGACATTGGTGGACACGTTGCGCAAAAAACATTGCCCAATTCCAACCCATGGGCACCACACCAAATTGAGGAAAGGTCATTCCATCCACTTCGCAACTTCCTCCCATCTCATCAGACACACCCCAAAGCTTCAGCAAATGCGCAGGTATTGGTGGAAGTGCGAAGAAGGGTCGTAAATAGTGTGGCAACCTCAAAGAATAGAAATAATCCTTTACGTCTGTCTGGGCAGTGTATAATGTCTGCTCTTGGGGCACCTTGAGACGGGACCAACTAAAACCAGCTGACATAGCCAGAGGAGGGGGAGACCTGAACATCTGATTCACTGCTCTGCAATCCAGCACTAGTCGAAGCCTCCCGTCTTTTTTGGCTACAAAAAATGGGGTTATAGTTGATCTTGGTCTATCAGTGAAAGAAACCATGCCCCTGTCCCAAAGATCCTTGACAAACTCGATGTATGTGGATGTGGAGTTGCGAAAAACTTCATCCATGTAGGGTTCAATGTTCTGTCCTCTCTCAATGATCTGTCCCCACTCATCCCCACTGACAAAAAGATTGGCATCAGGGTCCTGGAGAATTTCTCGGCCATACGGATCAAGCACAGCTGAAAGATGTGGCGCCATTGCGCCAACCTCAGGGATGCTGACCAATGACCTGTTAAAAGGACGGACCGTCGTGGAAGCCTCCTCCCCCGCGTAGGAGAGGCATGAATGCAGAAGCTCTTGTGAAGCCTCACGCTCACTATACATAGGGATATGAGAACCAACCTCTTGAACCTGCTTATAAATGGACCGTTGAGCTGCCCTCTGAGAACCAGACTCTTCAGCCACATGGGAAAAACCAGGTGCATACATGGAGTTCAACGTGTCAATGATGGCATTGGACTGATACACCACCTTCCTATGTCTGGCCGCCTTCCGTCTCTGATGTTGGCTGGGATTGGGAGGAGGCTGTCCAAGGGAAATGTGAGGCAGTGGAAACAGTTCCCTGCGGATGTCACCATCACTGAAACTCGCAGCACCTGAATTGCAGTGAGATCCCAAAAAATCCTGCGATCCACCGCTGACTGCCTGAAAGACTGATGGCCCACCCCTCGCAGTCAAAGAGGGGGCCGGCCGACCCTTCATGTCTGGCCGCCGCCTGCACCTTCTTGGGCGTTCTTGCCCTTCTTGTTGGGTGCACGGCGGCGAGCTTCAGCTTCTTCTCTAGCCTTCCGGCTTTCCTTTGCGATGGCAGCTTCGTTTTTGAGCTCCGTTGCAACGTGGGCTGCGAGCTCCTGATCAACTCCCTGTCCAGCTCTGCGGTATCGCCAGCCCATCATGATATCATCCGATGAATAATCAGGAGACCCAGGAGAAATCCGGTGGGCCTCCCGGATGACTTGCATCCTGCGGCTGACCAGTTCGGCTGACTGGAGGGCTGGGGCATTGAGTTGATCCACTGTTAGCATAGCTTCAAATATCCGTGACAAACATTCGTGCTCATACACGCTGCGATCTCCTTTAGGTATGTCAGCTGAACGCAACCAATACTCATGAAAGGTGGTGGGGGTAAGATTGGAGTCCCTCATCATCTTGCAAAGGCGCAGGACAGTGGCAGGCCCTTCAAGCTGGAGACCACCCCCCTGGGGACTTGAGTCATTGAGGTGAGAGCAAAGGCCATAAAATTCACGCCTGCGAATGCCCTGACCATCAAAAACGACCGGCAGCACCCGGAGATCCTCCAACTTGTAGCCCTCAACTTCAGAGGCCTTCACTTTTCTTGCAAAAATGAATTTGGGCCCATCTGGAACAATGGCATGATCACTTGCAATCAAGCTTCCTGCCGGCAAGGCTGCCGGCTCGACCGCCAAGATCTGGCCGCGCTTGATCTGCCCAACCTCCTCCACCGCAACCCAGGTGTTAACTTGTTCTTGAGCTCCTACACCGGCCACAGCTGCAGGCACTGCCGGAGCTGCTGGAGGCAGAGCACCTCCCAACATGCCTGTCACAGGCACATAGGCTGGAACTGGTGGAGGAGCTGCGGGTTGAGGTGGAGCTACAGGATGAGCTGCCGCTGCAAGTGGTGGCAGTGGTGGCAGGCCCACAGTCGCTCTGATGGCATTGGCTGTCACCCTTCCTTGTTGCATATGACGCCCTAAATCACCAGGAGAAAGAGGGGCAAAAGAGTAAACCCTGCGTCGATCAATATGTGGTGGAATCACTCCAGTAGGGCCAGCATAGTGAAAATTCTGGAAGTCAGGGTTACCAATATCCATCTCCTCCTCATAGGAGTCAAGGTCTGGTGTCAAAATCACCCAACAGGTACTATTTGTCGGAGCAAGGAGTAGGCGTGTATGCCAAACAACGGGCCGTTCTCCATAGTCCACAAAGGCGATGCCTCCTGGTTCCATGACTAGTGGGAGATAGGTAGCGCCTTTCCGGTGCTACCAAACACTCCCTTTGATCCCTTCACCGGAGATACAGTCAGAGTGGGTGTACTCAATCTAAAAAGATAGATGCCAATGACAGTGCCCAAAGCCCCAATCACAAGGGTAAAGATCACCAACAGCCAAGGCGCCCAGGATCCAGTTTGAGGCTCACAAGGCTCACAGCGGCACTCACAGGAGCACGGGGTCACCACCACGCCAGGAGAAGTCCACTCCCGCAGCAGCCAGCCACTGAAGGCCGCTGCCACACCAGAGGCAACGGAGGTGTCCATGAACACCACCCCCTAGAATTTCTTGAGAGGAGAGAACGGCATGAACGTTTCTTTGTTCATTAGAGTACAAGTACCAGCCATGGTTTCCGTGGCCATAGAAATAGTGAGGGCCCCATTAAAAATAATGTTTTTCCATAATTTTTTTCCATGGTCAGGTTGGTTGGTCCTCACCTTTTTTCTTCTGAAGCCGGACCCGCCGAATCTTCGTTCTGGGGCAAAATCTTCGTTCTGAGCACGGTCATGCGACGGCGGCTGATTTCCAAATCAACCTCTCCTTTCCTTTCCCTTCCTTCCCTTCCTTTCCCGTCCTTTCCCTTCCTTTCCCTTCCTTTTCCGTCCTTTCCCTTCCTTTGCCTTTCTTTCCCTTTCTTTCCCTTCCTTTCCCTTTCTTTCCGTTCCTTTCCCGTCCTTTCCATTCCTTTCCCTTCCTTTCCCTTCCTGTCCCTTCCGTTCCCTTCCTTTCCCTTTCTTTCCCGAATGCGTAGCAAGGGTTCCCGTTGCCCAACCGTCCGCAACCACTCGCAACCGTCCGCGCGATTGCTATATGGCCGTGCCTCTGGTAAGTTCTCCAGAAGGGGTAATTTGTGCGTTTCGCGTGGCAGACGTGGCACTTCGTGACATTCAGACGTGTTTTGTAACGTGTCGAAAGTCATTTTATGTGGCATGCGCAATACTTTTGCGACGTTTTCAGAAAATGCGTTGCAGTTTTCGTGGCAGGCGCAGCACTTTGGACGTGTCCATCGTCATTTTGCGTGGCAGGCGCAGCACTTTAGACGCGTCGTGTTGCGTGTTTTTACGAATCGCATTGGCAGGGCCGCGTCAAGTGGAGACAAGGTGCAAATTCCGTGGCAGACGTGGCATTTTGTGAGATGTGCTGAAAATTGACGGAAGCCTTCCACGAAACATCGATTTTGAGGTAGCAAATTTAAAGGCTCGTACGAAAACTCGTAGGAAAACGTCGGTTTTGAAGCTACAAAGTATGAAAATTGGAGGAAGTCTCGCACGAAAGGCTCGTTTTGATGCTCCCACATCTCTCGTCTCAAGTCTCTGGTTTTCCTGCGGCGTCGCCGTGTCTATGGGGGAAGCTGCAAAATCTCTCCTTTTCGAAGGTTTCCAAGCAGGTTGTCATGTCGTTTTGCGTGGCAGGGGTGGCACTTTACACTCTACACTCCACACTTTGCAGTTTGCACTTTACACTCCTCACTTCACACTTTACACTCCACACTCTACACTTTACACTCTACACTTTACACTCTACACTCCACACTCCACACTTTACACTCCACGCTTTCCTCTCCACGCTTCACACTCCACACTTTACACTCCACACTTTTACGCTCCACACTCCACAGTCTACACTTTACACTCCACACTCTACACTCCACACTCCACACTTTACCCACTGCACACTCCACACTCTACACTCCACACTCCTCACTCCACACTTTACACTCCACACTTCCCACTTTACACTCCACACTCTACACTTTACACTCCAGACTTTACACTCCACACTCCGCACTCTACACTTACACTCTACACTCCACACTCTACACTGTCCACTCCACACTGCAGACTGGTAACAGGGCAAGTGTTCAAATAAACTATTGCAGAAAATTGTTCTGAGTGACTGCATATCCATTGACATACGTGTGAGCATTCGGGTTCGTGGGCTGCATCTTAGCCGTCCGCGCAATTCTCCGCATCCATTTGCCGTCCGCCTTCTTCTCCCCACCCATTTCCAGCCACTCCCTCGCACCCTCGCCGTCCGCAACCGTCCGCGCAATTCTCCCCACCCATTTGCCGTCCGGAGCCGTCCGCGCAGCCAAGCTCGCTCATCACCAGCGGCTTCTTCTCCCGACCCATTTCCAGCCAATCCGTTGCACCCAGCCGTCCGCGCAATTCTCCGCACCCATTTCCCGTCCGCAGCCGTCCTCGCTCATCACCAGCGCGATCCCCACCCATTTCCAGCCACTCCTTGCACCCACGCCGTCCGCAGCCGTCCGCGCAATTCTCCGCACCCATTTCCCTTCCGCAACCGTCCGCGCAGCCAAGCTCGCTCATGACCCGCGGCTTCTTCTCCCCACCCATTTCCAGCCACTCCCTGGCACCCACGCCGTCCGCAGCCGTCCACGCAATTCTCCGCACCGATTTCCCGTCCGCAGCCGTCCGCGCAGCCAAGCTCGCTGATACTCCCCACCCATGTCCAGCCACTCTTTTGCAGCCAGGCCGTCCGCAGCCGTCCGCGCAATTCTCCGCACCCATTTCCCGTCCGCAGCCGTCCGCGCAGCCAAGCTCGCTGATCTCCAGCGGCTTCCCTGGCACCCACGCCGTCCGCAGCCGTCCGCGCAATTCTCCCCACCCATTGGCCGTGCAGCCAAGCTCGCTGATCACCAGCGGCTTCTTCTCCCCACCCATTTCTAGCCACTCCGTTGCACCCGCGCCGTCTGCAGCCGTCCGCACAGTTCTCCGCACACATTTCTTCAGCGGCTTCTTCTCCCCCACCCATTTCCAGCTACCCCCTTGCACCCACGCCGTCCGCAGCCGTCCACGCAATTCTCCGCACCCATTTCCCGTCCGCAGCCTTCCGCGCAGCCAAGCTCGCTGATCTCCAGCGGCTTCTTCTCCCCACCCATTTCCAGCCACTCCTTGGCACCCACGCCGTCCGCAGCCGTCCGCGCTATTCTCCCCACCCATTTGCCGCCCGCAGCCGTCCGCGCAGCCAAGCTCGCTCATCACCAGCGGCTTCTTCTCCCCACCCATTTCCAGCCACCCCCTTGCACCCACGCGTCCGCAGCCGTCCGCGCAGCTCTCCGCACCCATTTCCCGTCCGCAGCCGTCCGCGCAGCCAAGCTCGCTCATCACCAGCGGCTTCTTCTCCCCACCCATTTCCAGCCACTCCCTGGCACCCACGCCGTCCGCAGCCGTCCGCGCAGTTCTCCGCAGCCATTTCCCGTCCGCAGCCGTCCGTGCAGCCAAGCTTGCTCATCACCAGCGGCTTCTCCCCTTCCAGCCACTACGTTGCACCCACGCCGTCCGCAGCCGTCCGCGCAATTCTCCGAACCCATTTCCCGTCCGCAGCCGTCCGCGCAGCCAAGCTCGCTCAATCTCGCTCATCCCCAGTGGCTTCTTCTCCCCACCCATTTCCCACGCCGTCCGCAGCCGTCCGCGCAGTTCTCCGCACCCATTTCCCGTCCGCAGCCGTCCGCGCAGCCAAGCTTGCTCATCACCAGCGGCTTCTCCCCACCCA